GGGTCATCTTCCCGATGACCTCCAGCCTCCTGAAAGCAGAATCCAGAGTTCAAGCCTCAAAACCCAGAACCAAGACTCCAGTCTCCCAGTCGCTCAATTCACACTCCTGAGTCAAGGTTCTAGGAGTCTAGGAATTATGGCAGCCCGGCCCGAGTCCAGCCTCTTAAATAGACCAGGCAGGTGTGAAGGGACTGTGCACTCCAGAGTCAACCCATGAAATCTCAGAATCAAGACCCAGGCTCCAAACTTCAAAATCCAAAACCTACCATTCATATTCCAGAACCCAGTCTTCACCCAGCAAGTGTGAAGGTGTCTAACCTCCAGTGTTAGAGTGAAGATGCCAGAGTCCAGACGTCTAGTTTGGGCGCTAAGTTCAAAGGCTCAAGATCTCAAATCCAAGTCTGAGAATCATCACTCCAGGACCAGCCTCCAAAATCCGGACTCCAGCCCCAAACGCCAGGACACAGACTACCCCGATATTCATGCTCTAGATTTCAGGTCATGATTCCCCAACTCTAGAGCCTCACATTCAGAACCCGAAATGGGAGAACCAGAATCAAAGCCCCAGAATCCAGAACCCAGAATCGAGAGGTCTGGTCTCCGACATCCAGAGTTGGGGCATCTGGACCCAAAACCCAAGACCCAGAATTGGAGACCCAGATTCAGAATCCAGCACCAGGGATCAAAGGTCCAGAATCCAGAACTGGGGGCTCAGAATTCAGAATTGGGGGTCCAGAACGGGGACTCCAGGTCCAGGTCCAAGATCTAGGACCCCGCTCCAGGCACAAGAAGTGCGACTCTAGAATTGACATTCTGCACGGCAGATCCCCAATTCCAGATTATAGGCTCCAGAATCCTGGCTGCATATTTTGACCTCCCATCTTTCAACTCTTACCCTAGGGCCTCCTCCCCCTTGAGAACCTGCCAGGGAATTCCTCCTCATAGACTCAGACAGAAGTTTCAGCTTAATAAATGTTTATTAGGTCTCGTCCCCCACCCCACCAGCCACCTAGGCGTCCAGCCCGTAAAGCTGACTGCCAGCCACCTCCCACCCCGCCTCCCTCAACCTCCCCAGGCCCCAGGTGGGGCTGGAAGCTTATAAATTCAGGCGCTCAGGTGCCTATTCCCCTTCTTCTGGCATCCAGGCTGCCCCCGATGCTGCTGGAGAAACCTGGAGGGGGTGAGATCTTTGGGCCCAGAGTAGAGGGAGGGGGTTGAAGGGAGACACCGTCTGCCCTGAGGGGGGAATGTCAAGGACATCTGAGTAGGTCCAGAGGGACCTCCTTCAGGTTGAACCCCAACCCAGAAAGGTGCAAGAAGGAGCTGCAGGGGGTAAGAAGAGGGAGTGAATAAGGAGGATATTCCTGAAAGAGCTTCTACCCACAGCAAGAAGAGCTCGGGTTCCGGTCAGCTCAGCACAAGTCCCTGAGGCGTGTCCTGTGCCAGGACTCAGGCTGGGCAGTGCAGGGGACCCAGGGAGAACCCTGCTAGGAAGCAAGGTCTTCCCAGAAGAAGTAGGAGCTGAGCCTCAGATTTGGAGGATGAATGTGGACGTTTACCAGCAGCCCTGGAGATCCCCTCGGGGAGTTCTCCGTCTGGGAGGACAGACAGACCCCGAGGCGGCCAGGGGAAGTCAGAAAAGGCCGAAAGCAGGCAGTGGACCTTGAAGGGAATGGCTTATGGGGAAGGAGGAACAGCCCACACAATATCGTGGAGGCGTGAAATCGCAGGAAGGAGACATGGAAGAATCTAGAAGGCTGTGCTTTATGAGACCCAGCCAGACAGGCTGGGAGGTGGAGAAGTCACTCCTGTCCTCTAAAGCGTGGCTGGGGGGTAGGGGGCAGCTGGGACTTTATCCTGGGGTCACTATGAGTCACCAGGGCTGTGAGCAGGAGTGGGGCGGGGTGAACTCCAGGTGTAGAAAGACCCTGGGAACTCAAGTGAAGAAATGGCCTGTGGGGAGGGGGTGGGGCAGAGAACCCAAGAGGCTGCATAAGAGACTGGTAATAGGGTCCAGGGCGATTATATCCTGAGCCAGGGCCTTAAAGGTGGAGAGAGATCCAGGGTCAGGTGGGGTGGTGCTGGGGTCTGAGAGACTCTGGGGTCACTTAGGGGCGACTCCTGAAGATCGGCAGACCCTTCGGAGATGGGAAACCCAGGAGGAAGAGCAGGCAGCTGAGGGTGGGTGCGAGGATCGAGGATGGTGAGAATTCTCTCAGGCAGCAGGTGGGGTCACTTTGTGCCTGCGGGGGGGTCCGGATGGGGGCAGAGGGCCCAGCCTCACCCCAGTTTACTCTCTCCCCTCCCCAGACTTCGGCACAGCCCTGGTCCCTCCTCCACGATGTGGCTTCTTGTCTTTGCTTTCTTCTTGCTGAGGTCGGCAGGTGAGGTGGGCCCAGGTCAGGTGGGGGGGGGGGAGGTCTGTGGGAGTTGGGGAGCCCTGCAGCTGTCAAGGGTCCCCATGCCACGTGGGGGGCGGGGGGGACACAGACTTGGATTTGAGGCCCAGGGCTGCCTTTCTCTTGCTGTGCGACTTTGAGGAATGACCTCTCTAGGCCCTGCTCCTTTCTAGTGACCGGGCACCTCTCTGAGAGGTTGCCCAGCTGCCCCAGCGCCTGGCCCAGGGGAGGGTCCCGGAAGGGTTGCTGGCGTTGCTGGGTGCTCAGTACCTGGCCAAGCTCGGCGCTCAGCACCAGGAAGGCTCGTCTGTCCCAGTGAACATCTCTGTGCGGTGGGGGGTGGGCCGTGGCTCGGAGAGGGGTAGCCACGGGGGCCAAGGTGACCCTAGGCGGCAGGAGAACTCCAGACCAGGTTCATCCACCACCCATGGAAAAATTCACTGTAACCTGATGCTTCTACTTGGGAGGAGTGGAGGGTGGACTTGCACTAACTCAGGACCCTCCCTCGCCCCTGGGGGCCGGTCCAGCCCTGCCCCACCCCCTCTGCCAGCGTTCCCCTGGGCTCTGTCTCTGCTTTCTCCTTCCAGTCTCCTTCCAGCCTCCTTCCAGCCTCCTGCCTGCCTGCTGCACCCGGCTGAGGCCTCTGCCCTGCTCCGGCTTGGACTGGCCAGTTGCGGCCTCAGTGTCCAACTGTTCAGCCCGAAACCCTCTGCCCTTCTCCAAAGAACGACCTCACCCTTCCCTCGTTAAGCCCCTTGTCCACCTCATCCGAGTTCCCTCCACCTTGCCAGGGCCCTTGGCCCAGTTCCTAACCCTAGCAGGCAGAGTGTGGGCACTTGGTCTTGGCTGTGCAAATCCTGACCAAGCGTGGAGGTGACTGTGTGCTTGGCTGTGACCTTGAGGAGGCATATCCATGTTGGTCAGTGTAGTGGGGCGTGGTCTCGTGATCTTGAAACGTCCCTGTTGATGTCCTTATTTGTGGTGCCGTTCATGGGGGCTGCATCCTGCTCACGTGTGTGATCTAGGTGCCCACATGGGAACCCTGAGGAGTGAGTGACCTTGAACACCAAGCAACTGACTTGGGAGCCAATCCAGCGATGGATAAATATGTCCTGTCCTAACCAGTGTGTCCAGCTCTATGTCCTTGACCTTGAATGCCCAGACCTGTGTCCAGTTGTTGCCCTGGGGTCTGATCTAGCTGGTCCACACCTGAGTGCTGGTCCTGTGAATCTCCACCAAGTGGCTTGGGAATGAGTCAGCTTTGACCTTGACTCTCTTTATCTGGATCTGGTCATACATCTGACTTACATTGGCTAAGCTTGTGTCCCCAGCCTGAACGTCCATGTGTCATGTCTGCATAAATAAACCTACGAGCCCTTTGTTGAAAATAACCGATATTTATGAAGTAGTCACAATATGTCAGGCATCACACACACCCCTGCTTATTTAGTCCCCACAAAAATCCCATATTACAGATGAGGAAACAGAGGCCCAGAGAAATCCAATAGTTTGCTCAGGGTCTCTCGGATATGTCTGGACCCGGTGGGCATGGGTTACTTTATCATTCCAAATTTAACCCGTGTCTGTGGACACATTTTGGGGGGCCTGAGTGCATAGCAACATCTCTTCACGTGTACCTTCATTTTTTTAAGATTCTATTTATTTACTTTTAGAAAGCGGGGAAGGGAGAGAAAAAGAGAGGGAGAGAAGCATCAGTGTGTGGTTGCCTCTCGTGCGCCCCCTACTGGGGACCTGGCCCACAACCCAGGCATGTGCCCTGACTGGGAATTGAACTGACGACCCTTTGGTTTGCAGGCCAGCGCTCAATCCACTGAGTCACACCAGCCCACACCAGGGCTTTACATGGACCTTTACTAAAGACCCCCACCTTGTAGGTCCAGACCCCACATGCAACCGTGAGCACCTGTGACCTAGTCTGTGCAGACCCACCGTAAGGATGGAAATTTGGGCCTGAGCTTCTATGTGCAAATCTGTATCTGTGAATGTGCGTGGGTGTGCGCACACGCCCATGCCTTCACCGTCCATATTCACACACACGTGTGCCCCCCTGTGCTGTGATTCTGGAAGCTGCAACCTGTGCGCGCACAGTGAGTTCAGCTCCCAGCGCCGTCCCTGTCGGCTCCAAGGTCTGGAAGACCAGTTGTGCCTGTTTGCCTGCCCATGACCTTGTGTGGTCAAGCCTGTGCCCCGTCTGTATGACACACGGCATTTGGCTGAGATGTGCAGACTCTGGAGCCAAGACTGTGTGTCATGCAGAGCGAGCGGTCACATCTGTTGGATGTCTGTGACAGCTCAGTGACCTTGAGTGGCTGGACTGTATCCATCGTCCTTATCTCCGCTGCCAGTCACAGAGGACTGCTTGCCCTCTGGCCCCTTCCTTGTCCTCGCTCTCTCTCTCCCAGAGTCCTGTGGTAACCAGGCACAGAGGAACGGTTCTGAAGAAAATAAGCAAAAGTTGTAACAGCTAGAAAAAAAGAAGGCAATGCTTACAGTTCACTAACAGAGACACCTTAGGAAGTTTCGGGGGAGGCACAGGGGGGAAAAATACAAAGTGAGAGGAGTTGTGCAAGAAAGGCCTAGAGCGTGAGGAAAAGGACTCTGTCCTCAGAGACGCCCCCTCTGTCTCCGCTCCCAGCGGCCCAGGACGGCGGCAGCGGCCCGCCGCCCGGAGGGGAGGAGTGCGTGCCCCACTCCCAGCCTTGGCAAGTGGCCCTCCTTGAACGTGGACGTTTCAACTGTGGCGCTTCCCTCATCTCCCCGTACTGGGTGCTGTCCGCAGCCCACTGCCAAACGCGGTATGAAGGCTGGGCTCAGGGTGCTCAGGGGGCGCTGGGGGGCCGGGTCTAGGGGTCTGAGGATCTTGGGCTCAGGAAGAAAAGAGCTGGAGCCTGAGAATTGAGGTCCAGGTGTGCGCGGGGTTGTGGACGCTTCGGTCCCAGTGTGGAGGGTGCGGGGAGGCGAGGGCCGGAACTCTTGGCTTCGGGGCTTTGGAGAGAGGGTAATGGGACGTCCAGATTCCCGAGGGGGTCACGAGTCCCAGGCTGTCCGCTCTCTGATTTTCCCGCCTGCTCCCTCCGCCCTCCGATCGCGGGCGCCACACAGCAACATGAGGGTGCGCCTGGGCGAACATAACCTGCGCCAGCGCGACGGCACCGAGCAGCTGCGGGCTGTGTCGCGCCTCGTCCCGCATCCGCGCTACGAGGCGCGCAACCATCTCCACGACCTGATGTTGGTGCGTCTCCAACGGCCTGCGCGCCTCTCGCGGCAAGTGCGCCCCGTGTCGCTGCCCAAACGCTGCCCCCAGGCCGGCGAGTCCTGCGTGGTGTCCGGCTGGGGCCTGGTGTCTGACATTGAATCTGGGGCCACAGGAAGCCGAGAGTCACCAGGTGCGTGAAAGGATGGAGCTGGACCTTTCGGGAGCCTAATCCCTCCAGGGCTGTGGGGCGGAGGCCCCTGCAGGGCCTGGGAATCAATGGATTCACTCCAAGTTCACCGTCCTCCCCAGTGAACCTCCCAGATACGTTGCACTGTGCCAACATCAGCATTATCTCGGCCGAATCTTGCAGCAAGGACTACCCCGGGCACCTGAGGGACACCATGGTGTGCGCAGGCGTGCGCGGGGGAGGCACCAACTCCTGCGAGGTCAGAGCCCGAGCGGCGGCCCCGCCCTGGGGAGGGAGGGGGACGCTTTCGAGAGTTGAGACGCGGTTAAGTTTGGCTGGCTTTGCGCCAGAGGCGACCCTAGGGATAGGTCTGCGGACGGAGAAGGAAGACCAGGCAGAATGGGCGTGAGGTTGGAGTCAGTCACGGTGGACGGTTTGGGTTGGGTTCGGAGGAGGGAGGGGGGGATGGCCCAGGCTGGAGCTGAGAGTGGGAACGGGTTGGCTTTGGCTGTCGATGGGAAATAGGTTGAATTGGGGATTGGGTCTAGTTTATTTGGGGCGCAAAAGACACGGCACTGGACGGGTGTGGGCCCGGTTTGATCCTGAATGGGGAAGACGTAGGGGTTGGAGTAGGGCAGGCTTGCTCGTGGACTGGCTGAGCCGCGTTGGGATGCGCTGGGCCGGGGTTAGGTTGGCTTGGGTCCCCCTGGGTTGTATGGAGCTGCGATGGGGTGGGGTGGGGTTTTGGCTGAGATCCTGACCAGTGAGTGCTTAGGACCGGGACCAGGACGCTGCGTCTGGAAGTTCTCACTCAAGCTTCCTCTCCCCCACCCCTCACCCCCGCAGGGTGATTCCGGGGGACCCCTGGTCTGTGGAGGCGTCCTGCAGGGCATTGTGTCCTGGGGGGATGTCCCTTGCGACAGTACCGCCAAGCCTGGGGTCTACACCAAAGTGTGCAGCTATTTGCAGTGGATCAGGGACACCACGAAGAACAACTGACTGCGTTGCTCTACCCACCCCCGCCCATCGTCCCCCTACCCTTGCCCGCAAGTCCTCACGCCCACGCTGAGCAGAAACTGCCCAGGTGGCGGCGCCGTGCCGGCCTGGGGCAGAATCAAGCCAAGACCCCATTTGTCCCAGGCTCAAGGATGTTAACCATCCGGGTGCTCAAGGTCACCTATGTAACATCAGGTTAACGGCACTGATGTGAGTTTGCCTATAAGAGTTTCTGGGACTTTCTCCTGGGGGTGAAGGGAAGTGGGGAGCAGCGACCCGGTACTCCACTTCGCTCGGCCTCAGCTTCCCCCTTCTGTGAAAGAGCCATCCTTGTATTGCTCACCTCATAGGGTTGTAAGGGTTAAATGAGGAAATTCATGCAAACTGACTCAAATAGGGCCTAGCACTGGGAAAATACTTTAGATCTCTGAACCCCCAGCGAGAGAATCCAGCACACACTCGATGATCATCGATGATCAAGAATGACTCCGTTTCTGCCCTGGCTGCTGTAGCTCAGCAGACTGAGTGCCGGCCTGAGAGTCAAAGGGCTGCTGGTTCGAATCTCAGTCAGGGCACATGCCTGGGGTGTGGGGTCAGGTCCCCAGTGAGGCAACCACACACTGATGATTCTCTCCCTCTCTTTCTCCCTCCCTTCCCCTCTCGCTAAAAATAAATAAATAAAATATTTTAAAAAGAAAAGAACATCTTTATTTTCTTCATGATTTAGTTTGGGGCTTCCTGGTAGCCTAGGCAAAAAGGCAAATACTCTCCTTTCCTTAGGCAGCTTCCTAACTTACAGCAGAGACTGGGACCCTGTGAGCTGCTTTGATTGTACTAAAGAGTCAAAGGAACATGTCAGAGACCTATGGCTTTACCACAGAGTCTGCCGGAATCTAGATTTCAATTCTCCTCAGAGACCCCCAAAATGGTATTGGCAAGGTCCCTGAATGTTGAAGAACTGAAACCTGGCCCCTGAGACCGAAATCTTTTTTTTTTTTAATTCTTTTTTTTTCAATATTTTATTATTTATTTATCTTTAGAGGGGAAGGGGGGGAAGGAGAGAGGGAGAGAAACATCAATGTATGGTTGCCTTTTGTGCGTCCCCCTGCTGGGAACTGGCCTGCAGGGAACCGGCCTGCAACCCAGGCATGTGCCCTGACTGGGAATCGAACCGCGATCGTGTGGTTCGCAGGCCCGCGCTCAATCCACTGAGCTACACCAGCCAGGTGAGACTGAAATCTTTTGTTGGGAGAAGGCGGGATTAGAACTTGTGATGAGGATGCTCTTTGGAGGCAGGTAGTCTGGGACTCCTGGGACTTTGGAGGGCCTGACCCTGAGCATCAGATCTGGGGAACAAGGAGTCAGGGGTCCGGTAATGGGACCCCAGCATTGCTCGGGGGGAACAATGGATTTTGACGTGCCAGGGAACATATTCAAGGAGACCACTTACGGGGCCACACTGGACATGGCCCTGCCAACACTCCTACTGGAAGGTTAGGCAGAGGGCCTCCTTCCAATGTGAAGCAATGTGTATGACTTTGGAAGTGGACTGCAATTCCCTCCTCATCTCCTTTTGGGAGAGGCTTCTTGTCCCGTGTGACTGCTTTTTGACTGTTTCTTTCTGCATACGCACACTGAAGAAACATAGTTTAGAGTCCCATGCGCAGGTCCCCTTTGTCTGGGACCCCAAGTCTAGACTCGGGGAGCTGTGGTCTTGCTTTGCTGGTCTGCTGCCCATTTGGACTCCCTGTCATGGGAGTAATAAAGGCTATGTCAGCTTCATCCAGTTCTCCTTGTGGGTTTTTTTTTTTTCTGGTTTATCTGAACAAGCCGTTGAGATCCCCGGGCTTGACCTCCTTGCTTGCACTACGAAAACTTCATATTCTTGGATCTGGGGGAGCTGGAATTGTCGTGCATACGCTAAGACTTTATTATGAGAGAGACAATAGATTTGGAGGCCTACATCCTGAGCCCGGGAATGCAAGAACCAGTGCATTCTGCAAGCCACCGCTTATATTTCAGGGGGATCTGGAAGCTGAGAAGCTGACATCTTGGCTGCAAGCAATGCAGGGAGAACACTGCGTCCTGGGGTATGTGGTCTTCCTTGGGGCTCAAGGAATATGGTGCTTTGTATTGGGGGAGGTCGGTGATGCCCCTACTTTCCTATTTCTGTCCCCATTCGCTGCCTCACCTACCCTCACTGGCTCTCTGTCCCTGAGAGCAAGGCCCCAGGAGCTGCTGGCCCTGCCCGGAGCTGCTGGCCTTGGCCCCAGGAACACTTCCAGCCCCGTGGAGGGCCCACAGAACAACAGGTGCTTATTCTCATGTCCCTTCCACAGCTGAGGTGGGAGGAGGTGCCCAGCGCCCAGGGAGCGGGGGCAGGGCCTTGGCTAGCCTCAGGGTGCCGGCAAGGCAAGGGAGGGGCCCCAGGGGGATGAAGGCTTTTAAAAGCTTCTCGGGGAGGCTCCTCAGCTGCCGGTTCACCACCTGCCTGCCCCCTGCACGCCTCTGCCACCATGTGGTTCCTGGCCCTGTGCCTTGCCCTGTCCCTGGCAGGGACTGGTAAGACAGCGGGGAAGATATGGGAGGGGAGAGGGCCCTGACACACCCAATATAATATAATAATAAATCCCTTCCCTTGCACCCAGCACCCCAGCCTGCACCCCTGCACCCCACAGTCCACCCCAGACCAGGGCACCAGGCTCTTTCTGATCTTTCCCATTCCCACCCCTAAATCCCACCCCAGCCCGTCATCCTTCCCACCCTCTCCATCGCCCTCACTCTCAAACCAGGTCCTGCTCCCTCTCAGAAGCCCCCACAATATTTTATTGTCCCTCATCAGATCCTGCCCCCGTCTCTTTTGCCAAGAGAGCATCACGAGCCGTCTCATCCTCTCTCTTTGGAGGATTCCGCCTCTTCCAATGAGCCCCCCGCCCCACCAGACCCTGGGGCCCCAATCACCCCCTCTGACCCCCGATCTCTGTGACCCGGTGATCTGGCTCCTGCATCCCCAGGGCCCTCTCTCCCTGGAGGTCTTTTCCATCCAGCCGTCAGCTCTCAACCAGGCCCTTCCAGGCCCTGGCATCTGCCCCACCCCCACCCCGAATCCCAGGTTCCTCCGAATTCCACCTGATGCCTTCGCTTCTTCCAAAAACAGACTTTCCGGTCCTTCCTGGTTTGGAGGCTCCGGGAATGTCTCTTTCTCCCCTGAAACCTCCGGGCAGCAACCCCAGCCTTCTCCTCCAGGAAAAACAGGCTCCTTCCTTTCCCCGTGGGATTCACAGCCTCCCTCCAGCTCCAGCCCCTTTCCTCCTGCATCCTTCTGTTTTTTCTGGGATGGCTCCCCTCCCCCGGGGTCCCGGACACCTTTCCAGCCCAGCTGTCCCACCCTACCCCCCTCAGGGGGCCCCAACATGGGATGCAAAAGCCGCAACTCGTGGGCCCTCCTGGCGACCCCACAGCTGCTCGGCCCCCCGATCTGCCTCTTTCTGCAGATCGGAGACGCCCGGTCCCCTGGTTCCCCATCTCCACGAGATCACCTGACCCCAGAATGATTCACACCGGCTCTTTTTCCTCTAGACCCCCCTCCCAGTTCTGACCCCGACGCTGTCCCTGGGTCCGCACCCCTCTTAGCATGTCACCCCTGGTTCACAGGACCCCGAACCCAAGAAGCTGATGCTTGTTTTCACTCTTCGGCTTGTGACCTCGGGTTCTCCCACCTCTTCCAGCCCCAACCAGGAACCCCAGTCACCCTAAACCCCCCAGGCGCCCTTGGCCTCTCAGACCTGATTCCCCAACTCCACATGCTTTCAGAACCCCCAAGAGCCCAGCCCTCCAAAAGGCCCTAACTATTTCGTCAGCCTGGAAGCCGCTTCACCCTCCGAGTCCTTTCCCCTCAGCCTCTGAGCTGCTCTTTCGAGGCCTTTCACCTGGGTTCCCCCCTCAGAATCCACAGCCTCTTGTCCCGCAGTCCGAGACCCCCGGCCACCCCCACAAGCCCGGCCGTCATACCCAGCATCTGCTCCAGGTGCCCCCCGCCCCCCCACACTTGTCTCCTATCCTGATCCCTGGGGCCTGTTCTGCTGTCAATGGAATGTCTCCCCACCCAGGACGAGCCACCAGCCCGCGGGCTCAGAGTCTCCGGAGTGCTGGGTCGTTCCCGACAGCCTGCTCCTTCGCCCCACCCACGGCTCCCTCTCCTGGCCCTGCGCCCTGACTCAGTGCCCTCCCTGCAGGCGCTGCACCGGCCATCCAGTCCCGGATCGTAGGAGGCTGGGAGTGTCAGAAGGATTCCCACCCCTGGCAGGTGGCTCTGTACCACTACCACGACTTGCAGTGCGGTGGCGTGCTGATTAACCCCCAGTGGGTGCTCACCGCGGCCCACTGCATAGGCGAGTGAGTAGGGAAGTAGGGGGAGTGTGTCTGGGGAGGGGACGTTGGGGCTTCCGCGTGACTGGGCAGCCAGCACAGTCCCCTGGGATGACCTCAGGGGAGGCTGAGGGACCTAAGGCAGAAAGGGAAGGTCGTGGTCCAGGGTCCCAAGGAGAGGGGCAGGGCTGGGCCTGGGTGATGCCAGCGAAGCCCCCCACCTCCCCGCACTGTGGCTGCCTGAGGCTGCCTCTGTCTCTCCCCATGCCGCTGTCTCTCTGTCTTCCACAGTTCTGTCTGTCTGTCTCTGTAGCTGGCCCTGTTGTGTCGCTCTCTGTGACTGTGATGTTGTCTCTATCTCCCTCTGTCGCTTGCCTGTCTCTCTCTGGGTCCCCCTTCTATCCCTGTAGGTCTCACCCTCCAGCTCTCCACACTCTCTCTCTGTCTCTCTCTGTCTCTGCCTCATGCCCTCTCCCTGTCCCCAGGCTGGGACTGAAGGGGATCCCCAGAAAAAGGGGATGGTTGTCCGCAACATTTGGGGGGGGGGGCTTCTGACACTGCCCAGCCCCACCCTTCAGGACAATCCACCAACTCCAGGGGCTCCCTGGGAAAAGCTGGGGTCAGCCGCAATTGGGAGAGGGTCATGGAGGAAGAAGGAAGATGTGAGAGGAGGAAGGGCAGGAGGCCGCTTACCTTGGGCTGAGGGCCAGGTCACCCCCCGCCAGCTGGGGAACAAGCCCCACAGCCCCAGCTGCTGCCTGAGCTGGTCCAAGGCCACTCCCCCCCCTGCCCCGCCCCCTCCTGTCCTCACTCCCTTTTGTCTCCCACACTCCGACCCTCCCTGGCCTCCTGGGCTTCCACGTCTCACTCTCTCCCTCTTCCCTTCCTCCGTTCCTTCCTCTCTTGGTCCGTGCTCACTCGCCTCCCTTATTCTGTTCTTTCGGTCCTGCACCCTTCCATTTCTGATTCTCGCTGTCTGTCTCCTCCACACGCCACCTTTCTGCCCCCTCCTTCTCTCCATTCTCCCTGTTTTTCTCATTCCCTGAAACTTTCAAAGCTCACTTCTTCACCCCCTTTCTCTTGGTCCCTGGGTCCGCCTTTCACAACCTTTCTAAATCTTCCACGTGTGTCTCCTTGTTTCTCTCCTACTCTTTTGGGACTCGGATGCTGCCCTGCCGCATCTCCCTTCCCCCCTCCTCTCTCCTCATTCCCTTTGTCTCCACCCCCCACCTCTCCCCAGAAATTACCAGCTCTGGCTGGGAGTCCACAACCTGTATGACGTCGAAGACGACGGCCAGTTCGCCCAGGTCAGTCAGAGCTTCCCGCACCCCCAGTTCAACCTGAGCCTCCTGAAGAACCACACCACCTACCCGGGAGAAGACTACAGCTACGACATCATGTTGCTCCGCCTGGAAGAGCCCGTGCAGATCACAGACACCGTGGACGTCCTGGACCTGCCCACCCAGGCACCCGAGCTGGGGAGCATCTGCTATGCCTATGGCTGGGGCAGCTTCACCTCATACCCATGTATGCCAGCCTGCAGCCCAGACTCCGGGGTGTAGGGAGGAGGGGCTGGGGTCGGGACACCTGGGCCTCAGGGAGGAGGGCTGAGGATCCAGGCTACAGCCCTATGTCTCCACGGCCCATAGTCAAGTACCCAGAAAACCTCCAGTGTGTGGACCTCAAAATCCTGCTCAACGAATATTGTGCCAAAGCCCACCCAGAGGAGGTCACAGACGTCATGCTGTGTGCTGGATACCTGGAGGGCGGCAAAGACACCTGCTCGGTGAGCCAGCCTGGTCCCTCCTGGGCCCCAGAGTGCCGGGGGACTGAGCTCAGATTCTGGGCTGGGGCTGAGAGTTCCCCAGGGCTGCCCAGATGTGCGCCCCCCCCCCCCGCAGTGCCTCAGCTCGCCCCCTTCCCACACCCCCCTCCTGGTGTCACGTGCACTCCCTCTCCTCCACATTATAATTCATCCCTTCCTCCCGTTAACACTTATTCACAGTCCAGTCAAAAGCCCCGGGGCAACTGAGAACTGTCTTGGGCTCGAGCTGCCTGTTCCCCGCTCAGCCACAAGGTGGAGACAGGGATTGGGGTGTAATTGTATTGTCATTAATATCAGAGGCCGGAAACCTGAGAAGGTGCCGGGTGAAAACACTAACATCCACCTTCCCTTGAGCTCTCAGAAGCAGGTTTGTATAGGGGGATCGTGGGGATTTGGGGGAGGACTCCTAGGGGGAGCATGGAGGAGCCCGTTCTCTTGGGCGTAGGGGGAGGAGGAGCCAACCGGGAGGCACGCTGCTTCTTCCCAAGCTCCTCCCCTGGTTCTGCTGTTATCTCTCCTTCCAATTAGCTTTCCTCTCTTACCGGGACTTCTGTGGTGTGTGGCCCGGAAGCTCTGTATCCTCTGGTGAGAGAGCAGAGGTATAAACCATTGGCTCTCAAGTGTCCTTGGTTAGGGGAGATAAGGTCTTGAGATTGTAAGTTGCTCCAACTGTTTGGACTTGTTTCATTTTCTTGTCTCGGTTTCCCCAGCCCCCTTGCCCAGGAATTTCACGAGCTTCTTACTATCCCGTCTCATAGAGAAAGCTGCTTGGGAGAGGTGACATCTGCGATGAGCTCTGAGGCAGGAGGGTCCTGTCCTCCTGGGCCCTGCCCACGACTCACAGAAACTGGACCCTGGTGTCCCCTCCCCATTGGCTAGAACTCGACCCACTGTCCCCTCTACTGGAATCCTCCCCACCTTCTTCTGGGAGTGACTCCGGACACAGGTCCGCAAACTGACCTCACTCCCCACTCCCTTCTCCGCCCCCACCCCCCGTCTCCCCTTCGTTCTGTAGGGCGACTCAGGGGGCCCGCTGATCTGCGACGGTGTGCTTCAAGGAATCTCGTCATGGGGCCACACCCCCTGTGCCCGACCCAACAAGCCTGGGGTCTTCACCAAAGTTGTGTCCATGCTGGACTGGATCAAGGAGACCATGGCAGCCAACTCTTGAACGCTTCCGCCCTCTCCCTGAGCCCAAATAAAACCTGATATGCATCAAATTCGCGTGAAGCTCTGGTGTCTTTTGGCCTTCCAGATGCAGAGCACCTGGTAGCCCGGGTCCCACCGGGGCCAGGCTGGAGCCTGCCCAGCGCTCCCCGTCTCGAGGCAGGAGGCGCACAGTAATGGACAGGGGGAGAGGAGGGGCCACGGTGGGGCTAGACACAGGTGCAGACAGGCAGAGAGCGGAGGCAGGGACTGAAGACCGGTTCCACGTGCTGGGCCCGAACTCTTAGCACCTCCAAAATGTGGGTGGCGCCCACATTTTGTTGTCGCGGGAAGCCAGGAAACGGACAGAGGGATGCTATGGCAAACCACGCCTTCCTGGGGCGAAGCTACAAAAAAACTGGGCAGGGTCAAGGCTAGACTTCCGGGGGCGTGGTTACGGCGAGGACGTGAGGCTTTGGGGCGTGGTTTGCGTGGGCGGGGCGCCGGGGCGGGGCCTCGCTGGGATCCCGGCAGGGCCACGCCCACTGGCCCCACACTGCTCGGGCTCGGACTTCTGGGGTGCCGGAAGAGGGCAGAATGAAGACCAACTGGACCAGAGCAAGGTCGCACAGGGTGGCCCCGAGCTCGAAAGACCGGGCTTTGCCTGCAGTCCTCGAAGGGCTGGCTTGCTCTGCACGGAGGTCTAGTCTCAGGCGCTTGGACCGCCGCCTGGCTGCAGTGACCTGTCAGTGTCCTGAGCATCGGTGGCAGTTCGGAAAAGTTCGGAGGCAATCTCCGGGTTCGGTATTGAACTGGGAGGGTCCGCGGTTGGCTTGGGGCCCGTGTTCGACTGCAGTCTGTTCGTGCGCTTCCGGGAGTTCTGCTGCGTCCACCGGCTATAGCTCAACTTCCGATTGCTCACCCGCCGCTCCCAGGAGATGGAATGGAGGCCCCACATGCCCACGTGGTTTAAGTAGCTCAGAGCTCCTGGGCAGAGGGGCCTGGGTGGGCCATTGAACTCCCGGCCCAGCCCTAGGCCTCGCCCCGCTCCCCCGGGACCGCCCCTCTCCCGCCCAAGGCCCCGCCCAGGTTCGCCCCGGGCTCCGCCCCCTGCCCTGCGGAGGCTCCGCCCCTTCGGCCCGAGGCCCTGCCCTCACCGGCCCACAGCATCAAGGCGCCGCCGCCCCAGCACGAGTATGTGGGCAACAGGTAGGATACATGTGGCTTCAGTTCCAGTGTCTGGCAGTTGACTACAAAGAGCGTCATGCTGAGGACAATCAGGAGCCCTGCGCTTGGGGGGGCCAGAGATGGGCACGAGGCTAGACAGGAACCTCGGAATCCCCAGAAAGAGAAGAGAGACAGGACGACCTCTCTCAAGCACCCGCATGTGCGCGCACACACACAGACACACACACACAGATATGCCTGGAAATTACCCCACACACTCAACCCAACCGAGAAAGACAGAGAAAGGAGAACCGTGGGAGTGGGCAGAGACAACTCCGAGAAACTTTCAAAGACAGACCCAGGGGACAGCAGGACAGAATTCTACACAGAGAGACCTCCGCAAAGCCAGAAAGAAAGGGGGGGGGGAGACATGGATGCCGAGGTGGGGGTCGGGAGTCGGGGGAACACCTCCCCCCCGCCCCGCCCCCATCCAACACTTACCAATGCAGAAGCTGAGGCAACTGAAGACAAGGTCGATCTTGTTCAGGCGCTGGAAGAAGGGCCGGAAGGAGAGGCCCATGGCGGGAAGGAGGATGAGACACAGGGCCAGAGCCAGCATCATGAAGCCCATGCTCATGTGGATGAGAACTGGGGGGAGGGGGAGAGGAGGATTGTCCCAGAACCACCCCCAGACCCTCCCCAAGGTCAACCCCCAAACTGATCCCTACCGAACCCATGTAGAGCACCCTCGAAGGGCCCCGCCCCCAAACTGACTACAGACACCATCCCCGTCACCTCCTGGAAAAATGACTCCCTCTCCCAAAATGACACCCTCTCTCACAAAGTCATTCCCAGGCACCTGTAAACTCAAAGTCATCCCCACTCACACCCTCAAAGTTGTCCCAAATCACCCCCCATTTACCCCAAAGTCAACCCCCAGGCACCCTCATAATCACCTACCCATAACACCAAAGTTACCCCACAGATGAACCCTGTGTCGCCTCCTGTAGGGGAACCTACTTTAGATGCCAAACGGCTCCAGCTGCAAAGGCCTCTGGGAAGTGTTGGGCTCTGCTTAACCCTCTGGAGCCCCAGGCTTGGCTGACTCCTCAGAAAACCAGAGTGCCACCCAGGGATAAACGTCATGCCCCCCCCCCCAGGGAGGAAGTTACTGGATGTACAGTCTGTGATAACGGCCTGAGGTTATCTGTTAACTTAGAAATGCATTCTTTCTGCCCTGACTGGTCGAGCTGTGGATTGAGTGCAGGCCTGCAAACTAAAGGGTCCACGGTTCGATTCCCAGTCAGGGCACATGCCTAGGTTGCAGGCCAGGTCCCCAGTAGGGGGGCACATGAGAGGCAACCACACATTGATGTTTCTCTCCCTCTCTTCCTTCCTCCCTTCCTCTCTCTCCAAAAGTAAACACATAAAATCGTAAAAAAAAAAAAAAAAAACTCCTAACTAAAACAGGTCATGGCCGGCAGTCATTGCCCTAGACTAGAATCTTCCCTGACGAAGGTCAGTCTTCACCTTAATTGAGCCTGTGCTTGTGGTCTTTCTGTAACTACAATAACAGGCCTTCAGAATGCCAGGGTATGTCCTTATTCCAGACCCCTCAGAACACAAGCACCCACCAGCAGAGACCAAAACTCCCCTCTTTGTTGTTCTCCTGTTAATTGTTGACTATAAACTCTCCTGTACCCACCCAGGTGAAGAAGTATGTGTCTATCATTTTACTCTTTATGCAATCCCAGAGGCCCCCGCCTCCCAACTCCATCACCAGTGGATTTCACATCACCCGCTTACGCCTCCTCTTTGGATTGCAATGTACAAAATAATGGAGCATTTCCTCAATCCCCTTCAGGTTTGGCTCCAATACACTCCTAAAAATTCTTACAGGTTTAGGCATTTCTTCCGTTGACACAAGTGATATCTGATGTTACCATTTGCATCCTGGAATTCAGCCATGCCTGAAAACATTCCTCCTCCCAGCCTTTTGCACGTAGGGGAGCTCATAAATTCTTTCACTCAGGCTAGTTCAGGTTGGTTTCTGTCACTTGTGACCCAGAGACTCTTGATTAATTCATAGGGCCCTTCATGGGTCTGCAGGAAGCACAGCATTCAATGCTGCCTGCATACCCCACCCACCAAAATTGCAAACACCCCACCCCGCAAAAATCACAGAATTGAATGTTCACCAAAAACCTAGATGGAGAAGACCTTCCTGAAACTTAGAATCAATCAGTAAAGTCTCAGAAGCAAAGGGGAGAAATGAAACTACGTAAAAACCCTGAATTTCTGCACACAAAAAAAATCCATTGTAACCTATATGTAATTTTTTATGCCAACCATAAAGTTTTGTACATTCTTTTTATTTCATTTTTTTATTGATTGATTTTAGAGAGAGAAAGGGAGAGGAAGAACGAAACATCGATCTGTTGTTCTATTGTGCTTATTGATGCATGCATTGGGTGATTCCCCTGTGCGCCCTGACCCAGGCTTGGACCCGAAACCTCGGTGTATCAGGACAACGCTCAGCTGCCCTCCCACGCCCCCAACCGGGGACCTGACCCACACCCCAGACTTGCGCCCTGACTGGGAATCAGACCAGCAACCTTTCCTTTTGGGGGACATCATCCAACCCAGTGAGCCACACCAGCCAGGGCCAAGGCTGTACATTCTTCCTGGCATTCAATACATGGTGATTTTTGCCTTTAAGAAGATAATTAAAATATTGCTGTGTGTTATTTTGAATGATTAAAAATAAGCATGTATGTATACTCGTACCTCTATGTTGTTTATATATATATATATATGCATCTAGGTTAACATATGTGTAAGAGACGTTCAGAGTTGCTTCTGCCCACCCAGCGTCTGCTCCCATTCTGGCAACAGCAACTTTGTTCAGAGGGACTCGGCCCACGCTATGCCCTGCGCCTCCGACAGAAATGACCCCTCCACTGACCCTTAAGAAAAGGGCGTGGACCAGTCGATCACAGCATCCGGGAAGAAGGGGAGAGAGAGAGAGAAACAGCACATCTTTGTGACGGACCCACCGACCACATCAGCTGCTTCCGGGATGAGCCACAAAGCCCAGGGAAGCAAATCTGATCCCAGCAAAGCTGGGCCTGAGAGCTTCGAGGGCCACAGAAGGCAACTTGAGGCCTTCTCCTCTTGCTGTGCACCGAGAGGGGAGCACCCGGAGCTGCTGGCAGCCCCTTTGCCATTGCCACTGTATGCGCCGCAGCTTCCCTGAGGGCTGGACAGAGCGGAAGTCTCCACAGAGAGATGGCAAGAAGCAGAACCCTAATGCCATGCTTTGGACACCGGAGTCCAGCCATGCGTGGAGAGATGTGTGGCTCTGGGCTCTCCCATAACTGAAACTTTAAACGACATGTTCATCTTACATAACTCAAGCTGGAGTTTGGGAGGTATGAAAGAAAGAGATACTCAAAATGAAGAAATAATATTAATACTCTACGGTGTTCCAGAAATTTCATCAGTGCTCATTCGAGATCTACAATGAAGGCAGGGCCCTGAACGGTGGGTGTGGCTCAGCTGGTTGGAGCGTCATCCCAGAAACCAGAGGTCACAGGTTCAGTTCCCAGTCAGGACACACACAGACGTTGCAGGTTAGGTACCCAGACTGGGTGAGTGGGAGAGACATTGGTGTTTCTCTGTTGCATCAATGTTTCTCTGCCTTCTTTCCTTTCTCTCTAAAATCAATAATCATGTCCTCACATGAGGATAAAAAATAAAAAGAAGGTAGGTGTATTGCCTTGGGAAAAAAATGTTGTTACAATAATAATAGCTAACCCTGGTGTAGCAGTTAATACGTGTGCCAGGGCAATGTTCTGATTCCGTTACGTGTTTTAACTCACGTGTAAATAGCCCATGGACTAGTACT